ATTATATATATTGTAAATTATATATGTTACATATATATAGAGAGAGAGAAAGGGATCTACTTATTCCAAGAGTAAGTTTACCTAAACTTATTTTACTTAATAATTCATTTTCTAAATTAAATTTCAACAATCCAACCATTGAATTAAAAGTTTTTAATACATAAATCAAATTTCTAATATTTTAGAAAATCTGCAAATTATTTGATACTTCATTTCATTAATTCAAATTGATGAATAAATTATAAAAATATTTTATACATTGATTTGAATTAATAAAATAGAGTATCAAATATATATATATATGATAATTATCTTGATTGAAATAAAAATATATAATTTTTTTTATAAAAGTATTAAGAAAAACTATATCTTAGTAAAGACTTGTAATAACTTGATAAATGGGAAATGATTAGATGCTTGTTAATATTCAAGAATGAATGAATTAATTAATCAATGAAAAACTTTTATCTCAATATCATAAGATAATATTAGATCTTGTTGCCAAATGTTGATCGTAACTATTCCATTTCAACAAATTTTAAATAAGAAATTATCAAAAAAAAATACTAATTGATTTATATTCCAAAAATAATCATGCTCTGTCAATAAAGTCATAATTTGAAAGGCAACAAATTATGGTTCTCTCAAAAATCATACAAAACAATTACATTGAATTAAAAGGTAAAATAATACTATATAAAAAAAATCTTAAGGTTTGTGAAGCTCTAAGTTCAAAGGAGTCATCATAGGGGTTGATGAGGAAGAGGTGGTGCAACAACAAGTCGGATCAATTCTGAGTCTTATTTACACAAAAGCAATGAACTTTTTCATATAAATTAAAAAAATGAAAGAAATGATCCTTTAAAAAAATATGTGCTTTTGGAAAGCAGTAACCTTCTCATACAAAGATTTACGACAAATTTCATTGTGATTTAATTGTCAAATATCAAGCATGTATGAATAATTTTTCTAATTAGCGAGATTATGTGAGAAAAAGGGTGATAGTTTGGTTACATAATTATATATATTTATAATTAGAAAATCAACCCACAATAGAGGAATGATTTTAAAAGGAAGAGGAATAAATGATTAGTAAATTGCATATAATTAATTTTTAGAGGTAACAAATAATTTTTAATATACAATAAAGACTTATTAGGCATGTCTTAATTGTGTATAGGCGTGCAATAGTTGAAAATATAAATGAGAGTAGCTGAAAAGAGAAAAAGCAGAAAAATATTATGAGAGGGCTTCTTCACTTTATATATATACTAGTGGAAAAAAAGACATTTTGTGTCTTACTAATGTTGTGGGATGTAAAAGTTACAAAGCGATTATGTTGCAGTTTATGTTTAGAAAATAATAATTTTTTAAAAATTAATTAAGTGAAATCACCAAATTATCATCTACTAAAAAAATATAATTATGTAGTTATCATAATAAATAAAGAATAAAAACATCTTAAAATTTGTGTACACAAAAATGATAAATCGCCTATCCAGATATTAAGATATGATAGAAAAATTTAGAGAATGTAACGTAAAAGAACTTTAGATAAAAAAGATAAATAACAATTAGGATAAATGAGGTTTAAGTTTACCAAATACATCATTTAAAATTATCCCAGCAATTAAAGGAATATGACTCTGTAGTATATAACATATATATTGCATTAAATTATTGAAATGCAAAGTGTCTCGAAAATATAAATTTTTTTAATTCATTCATAAATTTGAGTTTTCATTAATGATAAATTATAAATTAAATAGACCAAATGCATCATTTAAAATTCTCATAACAATTAAAAGAATATGACTCCACATTGTCTAACATATATTGCATTAAATTATTAAAATGCATATTTGTTTTAAATTGTAAATTATATATATGCACACGCGTAAATTAAAAATCATTAAACTTCAAATAATAGAAAGAATTGTCTATATTAATCATTACAACTCTTTAAATAGTAGAGAAAAGAGGCACTTCATATCTCTTAATTTTTTAAAAATTAAAAAATTGAAGAAAGATAATTTATGAATAGTTATAAGTAGTTATTCATAGGGGTAACAAAACGGGACAATCCATCCCATTTTGACCCGACCTACCAAAAACGAGTTGGAAATGTTGGTCCGCCCTACCTAAGGATAGGTCGGTGGACCAACCCACATACCACTAAAAAAATTACAAAAAAAATATATTTTATGTTCAAATAAAAAAAATTATTAGAAATAAATAAATAAATAAAATCACATAAAATTAAAAATGCATACATATTGTGTATAATATATGTTCAACAAAAGAAAATTACAAACTTACAACAAAATCAATAAAAATTAGTTCACTTTACAACAAAATCAAAACTAAATTACAAACTTATAAATAAGAACCTCAAATACGAGTTGACAGGGTGTGACAGGTCAACCCATTATTTAGTCTGACAGGTTGACAAACTTAACAGATTGACGAGTTAGAATGATGGATTTAGCTCACCAATTTTTAGCGACCAACGACCAGCCTATAAATCAACCCATTTTAATACCTCTAATTATTCATAACATTACCTCTAATTATTCATAACATTTGAGAGATTCTTTTAGAAATATACTAATATATACTAAAAGTGGAGATAAAGAACATTTAGATCATCTATATATCTTTTATAATATGTTTAAATATATAGATGTATACGTATAGATAAATTATATAAAAAATAAAGATTCTATTGTTTATTTATTTATTTATTTTTAAAATAATATAGGAACATTATGGCTCTATGGTACTAGTATATAGAAAGTAGGGGTGAGCAACGGGTAGGTTTGGTCGAGTTCGGGTGAAAAATGTCCAACCCGTTGTAAACCGGCTTTGAAAAAATGTGAACCATATCCGACCGACTGAGCTTTCGATTTGAGGCGGTTCGGGTTGAAACGGATTCAGATTTAAGCGGGTGGGTATAATCGGGTTTGAATTTTGTTTAGACCAATTTATCTTAACGAAGATGAAGCTTAAAACGATAAAAAAATATTTTTAAAATAGTGTATAAAAATAGAATGAAGGTGACAATAGATGGTGTAAATAGATTCGTAGTTGAAACATTTACAAACTAAAGAAGCAAAAATAAAAGATAACAAAATTCATAGTTGTTACATGGAAAAGAAATATAAAGTTAGATTACAAAACCATAAGAAATCACAGTCACACAAAATGTACTCAAAATGGAGATAAGAAGATGGAAAAGAAAGACAAAGAAAGAAGCAAAAAGATAACTCTAAAAATGGACTAGTGTGTTGAGAAGTTGAATGAGGAAGGAGAAGACAAAATAAATATCTAAGTTATGAGAAAAAGGAAAAAAATAAGTTACAAATTGATGGCTATATTATACTTGAAATAAAGACTTTTAAATTTGGACCATTGTTGTTTAGTTATACAAAAGTAATAAAAATTTAAACTTATCTCATTTTCGGTTGGGTTCGGTTTTTAGCGAGTTTAAAAATTCAAAACCGAACCCGCCCAATATAACCCGTAAAAAATTAAAATTTTAACCCGATTTACTCATAAAACCCGCCCGAACCCACCTAAAAGCAATATTTTTTTTCGGGTTTTCGGGTTCGGTTCGGGTGTCGGTTTAATGCTCACCCCTATTAGAAAGACGGTAGTAATCTTTTTCTTTCTTTTTCCTGTATACGTTGAACCGGTGCACGTTCTTTGGTAAACTAAAATCACACGACGCCACGTGTCCCTCGATGGAAACTACTTCGCTGGTAGTCGTTGATCGACTCAGCAGTGCCCAAGGAAAAGGAACGAGGACGCAAACCCGACCAGGTTCACAACGTTGTTCTCACCCTCTTCCTCCTTTCTCAAACAACAACTTGTCTTCAAACTTAACTCAAAACTCCAATGCTTCCAATCTTAATTGTAACCAACGAGAGAGAGAGAAAAAGAGAGACAACACCCACTATTGTTTCTTCTTTTCCTTAATTTGTTTCTCTGTGTCTCACACGAATGGAAGACATAATAAGTGTTGGTTCCAACCACAACATGGGTTCCTCAAAGGGAAAAAAAGAAGACCTTTACCATGTGCTTCACAAGGTTCCTTATGGTGATAGCCCTTATGTCAGAGCTAAGCATGCCCAGGTACTTAATTACCAAACACGTTTCACAACAATTTTTCACATCTTAATAATCATTTTAACATGGTTATAATTGTAACTTCAATTTCTCACTTCTCCTAAATAACTATAAATATTTTTAGATTATGTTGGTTTTCATTTTAGGTTCTTTTTTTTTTTTTTTGGGTGGGCGGTTTAATTAATTGAATTCTAAATTACACCACTTGTGTGTGTATATTTGATATCTGATATTTGATATTTGATATTTTCTCTCACGTTGTAATTGTTTGATGGGTGATTCATGAATCATGATCCCACTTTCATTGTTTGATTCAAGGAGCATGAATTATTCTTGTAAGCTTAATTAGAATACTTGCCACGAATCTGATTTTTCTTTGTCTCTTTTCATGAAAACATAGGTTGGAAACTTTTGTTGAATGTTGACTTTGGTAAAAGTTTTATTCAGGAAACAAGAATAATCATCTTTTAATGGTTTATAAACAATTTCCTCCATATATCTTGTCCGAAAGTCCTTCTATCACTTTATAAATTCCTCCATGTTTGAAAGTTCAATCTGATCTCGAGGTTTTGCGATTTTTTCCTCATGAAATGAGATATCTTTTGTATCATGCATGGTTTGAATTTAGATCTTCTTTTTCTGGTTTCCCCATGCTTAATTATATACTTGGCCAAAGGAATCTCGTTATTTTTTTTTTTAATAATCCACATATAATGGATCTTTGCTACAACTTTGATGGCTTTCAAAATTTTCTCGTGGGAGAAGAAAGAGAATATAATTAAAATTTGGGTTAAAATAATTAAGATTTGTTGCTGTAGCTAATTCTCACTTGATCAAAGATCTCTATTAATGCTAATAATTAATAATGATGTGAAATATGTAGCTGGTAGAAAAGGACCCGGAGGCTGCAATTGTATTATTTTGGAAAGCAATAAATTCAGGGGATAAAGTGGACAGTGCTTTAAAGGACATGGCAGTGGTGATGAAGCAGTTGGATAGATCTGAAGAAGCCATTGAAGCCATACGTTCATTTAGAGGCCTATGCTCTAAACAATCCCAAGAGTCCCTTGATAATGTACTAATTGATCTTTACAAGGTATAAATCTCCTTATTAAGCTTTTTTTCTTTTTTTTAATTATTAATATTAGAGGATGTTATTAAGACTCTTTCTAATACTTTCTTTTTAATATCTTTTTTTTTATTAACTGAAATTTACTAGAAATCACAATTTTTTTTACTCGTTTTCATTTAATTAAGCACTCTTGATTTAGTGGTAGTATGCACTCTTGATTTAACTAGTACTCTCTTTTTAATATCTCTTTTCTATTAACTGAAATTTATTAAAAATCACAATTATTTTTTTCACTAAAATTTTTGTGATTTTCGACGAATAAAGAGTATTACAAGAGAGAGTGTTACTCATAATTTAAAGTCCATTTTGTAGTCACCTTCCTTTATGCATAAATTATGAAAATATTTGATGTTACATATTTAACTTTTATTATTTTAATTTTTTTGGATTTTTGGATATTGGGATTTGAAATAATAAAAGTTAATTATGAGTTAACAGTGAAATTCAACTCATCATTTTTATGCATCAAATATTTTCAGCTGATAATTAAAAGAAGAGGAGATAAAAAGGTGAATCAAGGTGACTACAAATATTTTCATAGTACATGCATAAAGTTAATTTCAACTCTTAATTTCAAGGTTTTCATGTTGGTTTACCCTTTTATTTCCTCTTTTAATTATGAGTTGAATTATTTTTATTGTAGAAAACCTTGAAAATATATGAAAATTAACATGAAGATGATTTTATTTTATTTTTATATAAAAAGGGGTATAATTCATTTTCATTGAATCGGTATTTATAGAAATATATGTCCAAGTCAAAGAATTTAATTTAATACATTGTTTTATATATCATAGTCAGGAAAAAGAGTAGGAATACCTTTTATTTTGGCAGATGTAGAATCCAAATAATTGAAGAGTTTTCTCTATAATTTGAAGGCCAACTAGTTGAAAACTTGTTTTCTAATGTGTACAGCTTGTAATTGATTCGTTGAAATCTCCTGTTCATTAGCAGTGAATGATTTTTTTTTCTTGTTGTTTTAATTATACTTGGGTCTTTTAATTAACTTGTACATTAAATTTCTTTTGGTGAAATGATAGAAATGTGGAAAAATAGATGAGCAAATAGAATTGCTGAAGCGAAAGTTGAAGTTGATCTACCAAGGAGAGGCATTCAATGGGAAACTCACTAAGACAGCAAGATCTCATGGCAAGAAGTTCCAAGTTTCCATTAAACAAGAAACTTCAAGATTATTGGTATTTCATATTTCACTTAAACCTTCTTTTAAAATTCAACCACTAGTATAGAAAACTAAGCTTTTTCCTTTGCAGAAACTTAGTTGAAGGATTTGCCTTTATTAGTTTTTATGATTTTATCCTGTCAAAAATTATATTAGTGCATAATTAAAGTTTTTTTCTTTAATTATATCCTTAACAAGCTTCCTTCCTTGTCACTTAGGATTGTATCAAAAGAATGGAGAAATATAATTAATGTTCTTTTTTTATGAAAATTATTATCTAATGCACATCTATCTTATTAATTAATTAATTTATCAATCATTTATTTTATATCTTCTCTCTTAAATTTCATGATAAATGTTTCAAATATTTTAAAATTGAATAAAAAATTGGTTAAATAGTAACTAATATTTTTTTGAACTTTAGAATGACAAATAAAAAACTATTTTAAAAAAATACTTAAAATAAAATGAAAATACTAACCATTGTATGAATATGTCAGTGTACTCGCATGAAAATTTGAAAATTAAGAAAAAGACAATGTATAATAAGAACAATTCGATAAAATTATTTTACTTTTTAATTTTTTTTTTTAATTTTCTTAATATTTACCTACATCAATGGAATGAACTGAAGGAAGTAACTTTTACTTCACTTTATCTCTGACACAATGATTAATCCATCATAAGAACATAAAAGGTAAAGTAAGTCTGAAATAAAAGATACGTGAGACAGATACCACCCTTAAGGAATAATGATCACAGTTTGCTCACTACTTAATTAAAGCTTATAAATTATGTAAATGACATTGAAAACCTAAAAATAGAACAATAATTATAATTATCCATATCAAATGTGATTGAATAAAATCCACAGACATGGTTCATTATCTCTATGTTTAGTATATCTGTTCATTGTATAATTCAATCTAGTTGCTGTGTTTTAAGATTATTATCATTGTTTTTGGACACCGACATATCTAAAACATTATTGTACAGGGAAACCTGGGCTGGGCCTACATGCAAAAGATGAACTACATGATGGCCGAAGTGGTGTATAGGAAAGCCCAAATGATTGATCCAGATTGTAACAAAGCCTGTAACTTGGGTCTATGCCTCATTAGACAAGCCAGGTATGAAGAGGCCCAATTGATTCTTGAAGATGTATTAAATGGAAAACTTCCGGGCTCAGATGATAGCAAATCCAGGAAACGAGCCCAAGATCTTACAAAAGAGTTGAGATCCATGCTACCTCCACCACATTTGTCAGATCTTTTGGGCCTGGATGATGAGTTCATCAAAGGCCTGGAACAGTTGATGAATGAATGGGGCCCAATTAGATCTAAGAGACTTCCAATTTTTGAGGAGATTTCTTCATTTAGAGATCAATTAGCATGTTAAGTTCATACTGTGTATATATTTCTTGAAATTGAGTTGGGTAATAGCTGTGTAAGAAGAACTAGCCTCTTTTATTTCTTTTCCTATTTTTGATGTAGTGAAGGGTGTAGCATTTCTGGAAGAGTGGGGAATTAAATGGAGTGAAAAGTTGATGTAAATTAATGATGTGATCGAAACAATAAGCCTGTTGTTTTTATAAACTTCAATAAGAAGTTATTGGAACCCACTTTTAATTGTTAGGTTAATTAGAACCAAAGATGAAATGATTATAACATAAGCACAGTGGATTGTGACCAAAGAGTAACTTGTTCCATATGAATGCAGAATGTGAATTTTGGCATGAGGAAAGTCATAATATTCCCCGCTCATAAGCAACTCAATCAAATAATTTTAATATGTCACTATCTCACTCGGGTTTTATTGTTTTGACCACCAACAAGAATGTATAACCTTAACTATTATTTCCCTCCAAAGAAGGTTCAAAATGACAAAACTAAAAAGAAAACTATTGAGCACAATAAGATTATGAAATAAGAACAATAATGGTTATAATATCATAACTGGCTCTCATACCAACTTTGTATCAACTTTGACGGGAGTAAGGAAATAAGAACATAAACTTTGACGGAAACAAGGAAATAAGAACATAACCATGATAAAAGAAATAAATTTATAATGAAAAACTTACAAAGAAAAATATTGCAAGAAAGTTTGGAAGATCAGATTGTGAAAGTAGTAAGACAAAGTTTTTATTATCTTAAAACTCTTGATGCCATGACATACATTGGAGAATCTTTTTTATAACAAGTCATACATGTCTAATTTACACATATGGGTATTGATAACTCTAAATTATTTAGGACATAGATAGAAAACGAAATATAGTACAAACATTATTACAAAAAGAATCTAATCTAGAGTTATAGATAAGAAAATGACAAAAACATCTTGATGGTAGCATGAATATCTTTAAAATGGCGGGAACATCTTGTAAGTGATAAAGGCATCTTTGAAAGTCTTAAACACTTATTTTTATGTCTTATCTTTGTTATTATCTTTAAAATCTTGTTGGAGCTTAATGAAACATGTCAATTTCTTCTTTCATCGAAGGATCATGCATAGCTTGATAATGAACTATTTTTATTTTTATATCTATTTATAAATAAATTATTTACACATTACCAATCCATTTTATTTCACGTTTCATATTTTTCTAATAACATATCTCTATTTAACTTCAAAATACACAAATAAACAATATATTATCAATCATTTTAAATTTTATTCCATCATCCAATGCACAATAAGATACCAATTAATATTTATTTATTTGATTAAAATTAAAAAAAAAAACCTAGAAGCGGCGTCGAAATCCAACACGTAATGCATTTGCCTAACACCTACCTACCCCGTGTTCCGTAAGCTTTGCAGTGTTTGTTGGTTGCGCCTCTCGTATCACCTTCATCGTTTCACATTCATTCACGTAACTTCCGTTTCATATTCCAATGGCTCCGACCCCAAAGGTTATCTCCGACAAGGACGAGATGCGGAACTGGTCCCGCTCCATGCGGGCCCAAGGCAAGCGAATTGGGCTCGTCCCCACCATGGGCTTCCTCCACGCCGGCCACCTCTCCCTCGTCGCCCAGGCCCGCTCCCACTCCGACGTCGTCGCCGTCTCAATCTACGTCAATCCGGTCCAGTTCGGGCCCACCGAGGACCTCGCCACCTACCCCTCCGACTTCCACGGCGACCTTCGGAAACTCGCTGCGCTTCCCGGCGGCGTCGACGTCGTTTTTCATCCGCCTAACTTGTACGATTACGGTGGCCCACCGGTGTCCAGTGGGCCGGCCCACGAGAGCTGGGTCAGGGTTGAGAAGCTGGAGTTGGGCCTCTGTGGGAAGAGTAGGCCCATTTTCTTTCGAGGGGTGGCGACCGTTGTGACCAAGTTGTTTAATATAGTGGAGCCTGATGTTGCTATGTTCGGGAAAAAGGATTATCAGCAGTGGCGAATTATTCAGAGGATGGTAATGATCTTTTTCGGCTTTTCTTTGTTGCTTACAAGACAAATTTTAATGATGTAGTGTTTTTTTTTTTTTGGTGAATTAATGATGTAGTGTTTAAATATGCTTTTAGTTTTGTTAAAAAAAAACTTTATTTTTCTTTTAAAATTCAAAATCATTATTTTTATCAAGATAAAATGTGCAAATTTTAATTTTAGTGAGCAAATTTTGATTTTGGTGTGTTGAAAAAAATACTTTTTTTTGTCTTCATCCACTCAAAATTAGAAAGTATTATAGTTTCTACAAACACCAGTCAGTATCACTTGAAATAATCACTTCATTTTTTATTGAACACGTAACCGGTTAATAGGATCATGTTATCACATCAGAGTACGAACAAAAATAATTATTTCAGATTTTGTCAAGATGAAAACCAAAGAAAAATCTTCGACTAAAATTGAAATTTGTAATAATACTTAGAAGCATTTGTCTTATTTATCATCTTGACGTTGTCGTTTTCTGTTTTTTTGTTTGGATACATTTGCTTGCAGTTTTGTTTGAATGTTCTGTTCCAAATTGTGTCAGGTATTATTCTGTTAATATGGTCACAATTGCTGCATAATGAGGGATTGACTAGTTAATACAGTTTGTTTGTTTTTATTTTAAGTTTGCTTGTCTTCCATCTGCTTCTTTTGCATCGCCTTGCAACCAAAATTTGACAATCATGGCATATTATTTGAATAAATGACTTTCGGGTCTGCCTCGTCCCTAACACATTATTGTTGTGGTGCTATATGCATTTTATTTTTTCCTTGCTTTTGGTACAAAGTAGAAAGGAAGGAAGGAGTGCAATGAGGAATGGTTATCTCTGATCAGATTCCAATCAATTGCTATTTAATTACTCTGTTTTATTCACTTGCACGATACTTGTGATATAGGTGTTCCTACCTAGTAGGATAAGGTTTGGTTGTTGTTGCACAATACTCATGTTGATAGTTCTTTATGCTCTGTGAAATTTATCTTGTCTAATTGAGTAATTAGATCAGTTTATTATTTTATTTGAAGATACCAACTTGTTTGGTGAATGTCTGAAATCATGTTTGGTAGGATTGCTGTAATTAATAAGTTCGATAAAAAATTTCCTTTTCACTTCTAATATTTTCTACTGTGTAGGTTCTCTGATTTTGGTTTGGGTGGTCAGTTTGGGTACATGAGATGGTATTTTTTACCTTTTACTTATGGCATATTAGTATAAAAATAGATAAATGGTGCCATATTGTTGGTTTACTACTGCGAATCACTGATTGTGATATGTTATCAGTAACAAGTAGAGATCTGTATATAGCACCTAGAATTAAAGATGAAAAATGAGAAGAAAAAAGTAAGAACAGTTTGAGGGGTCTGCTACCTCTTTCCC